CAGGTTGATAACTACTTAAAGTTTATTTCTGTTTGATATTAGAATATATAGTGCAACTTTACATTAAATTTTACATTTTTAAACTACGAATAAACCAGATAATACAACAATGTTTAATTGGAATGTAAAATATTTTGTATTTTGGTTGTCAGAACAGTGCTATTTCATCATAAATTTTGAGTAATTTCAACTATGAAACCACACAGAGGATAGAATAAAGTTTAATTGATACCTGACAGTGGTAGTGATAAGCAGTACTACTTTATTCTTAATTTTAGTAGTATTCAACTTTAAAGTATTAGATAATGTGGAATTTGGATAAATAGTCTTTTTTTAATATTTTTATTCGACTCGACACAAATTTATTTGACTCAAAGTCAAAAAACGCCTATATTTTAGCTTTCTCAACTGCAAATAAGCTATATAATGCAAAAAGTTTAACAACAACCTAACAGAATTTTTATTTATCTATGAAGATGTTTAGTAACTTTACAATGGTTTTCAACTACGATAAAGCTGAATCTTTACTCAACATTTCCATTTTTTTAGTTTCACGAACCAGGTATTGTCAAAATGTTTAATTGCAACCCAACAAAATTTGTATATATGTAATAAAGATGTGTAGTGCCGCTTTACTCTATTTTTGAACAACGAAAAACCTAAGAGATAATTTTTTTTATTTTTAAGGTTTTTTTAAAGGTAGAAGAATGAAAAATACTTCAATTTTTTTTTTTACTCTTGGGGTGTAAAATGCTACTTAAACCTAAATTTTCCTGTTTTTTCAGTTTTACTAATAAACCAGACATTGCAACTATGTTTAATTCACATAATTAAAACACAACTTCAAATTTAACTCATTACAGTTCATGGTCCGGTTGACCAATTAACATTTTTCAATTAATTAATATTTATGAAAGGTATTGGTCGGGATAAAAAGTCAGTGTCACGAGCGGGATTCGAACCCATGATCTTCGGCTAAATACGCCGCTGCTCTACCACTTGAGCTATCGTGACTTCGATCCGCTCGGGCACTAACTTCCCATCTCTTCCTCACCTCTCGAATTTTCCCTCCTTTTTGTTCGGTTTTTCCCCCTCGATGTCACGATGGCTCAAGTGGTCGAGCATCGGCGTATTTAGCCGAAGATCGTGGGTTCGAATCCCGCTCGTGACACTGACTTTTTTATCTCGACTAATACCTTTCATAAATATTAATTTAAAATTTAACTTTATTTGTTTTTATGGTTTATTTAATATAGAGCTGGCCTCATTCATCAAACTTTACTTACTTATTTTTAAATTTTCTTTATAAAAACAAATATATTTATTTAATTTTACTTAATTAATTACGGAATCAAATCGGAAATATCATTGTTATTAAATAAATAAGAAAAATTTTCTACAGGAGATAAATACGAAACGGTTGAATGAAGAGAGAGGGATTTTTTACTCTAATTAGACACAAAAATACCTAACAAATTATGACAATAGAAACAAGTGAAAATAATATATATATTTTGTACAGATGGATCACTCATTTGATTTAAAAAAAAATCTTGAATGAATCATCAAAAGAGTAATAGCCCAAGCTCCAGGTTCATAACCTTGCAGAACTCGAGAATAATTTTCATAATGATTTTAAAATGTAAAACACCTCATCTATATCCAAAGTTGTAAAATCAATATTCGAAGGAAATATTTTGAGACTAAATCATCGCCGATCAGTATGAATCGAATTCTTCGTTTGTTTATCGCACTATTTTTCGATAAGGGCCGATTTTTTATCTTGAATATTTTTGAATTCCTGAGCACATGAAATGCAGCCATTGCTTTCCAATGGAACCTCGTCAGTAACTCAGTAGCATATCGTTTTTGATAAGGGAACCATTTTTATCGCCTGGAATTAATAATTCCCAAGAATTGAAAAAACGAATTATACGAACCATTGAAAAATGCATAAGATATTATCAAGGAGTTAAAGAGAAAACATTGTTATTTTAATTGAATCCAAGGTCCTATTTTAGCTTAGACACGCACTGATTTAACTCTTTATAAATTATAAAGTGAAAAAAAGGTTCAATCCGAAATTGTTATTTCCTGTTTATATAACTCAGAGCAAAAGCTAATTTGTAAACATTACCAACGATGAGGCAAGAGGGATAAAAATCTTATTCATGCCGCACATTTGATGATAAATTTCCTCTTTCCGACTAGTTTTGCCGACTTTACACTTTTCACATTCCACACTTTCACCGTCTTCCTCAGACCCGGCGTCAAACACGCGTTTTTCCGCTTTTCACTTTTAACTTTTATATGTATTAATGGCGAAGAAAGTGATATTTCTGAATTTATGTGCGTTTTAGGCTAACGCTACTCAATTTCTAACGTTTCATTCTTGTCGAAATTATTTTATTTTCCTATCTTAATTGCTTCCAATGGCTGTAGGCATTCACGCGTAGAACTGATCTAATTAAATTTATATTATAATAATATTACAGTTAAATTTCGTCCTAATATTATTGTGTTTTGATCAGTCAATGTCCGGAAAGATTTTCCAAATAGCTCCTCTTATCGAAATTGATCCGAAATGACAATCAGCGTAGACAATCGATGCTTTCCCTTCATTCCAAAATCAATAACCAATCGCGAATCGGCAATAAACTCTTCGTTGGGAAAAAGTTTCATTAGGCAAGTTTTCGAAACGAGGCCGATATCGGCAAGGCATTGACTCGGGGCTCTCCATGCTGCCCGACCGTTCAAATTACTCTTTCGAAACCTCGTACGTCTATTTGTAGCCACGGATAGAGCGGCTAATCCTCGTTATGATTAAAATCCTCAAGAAAGAATCTTTAAAGGATGTAAGGACAGTGGAATACGAAACGCTCTTTTTAACTTTGACTTGATTTCCCAACGATTCCACGGTGATCCGGCTTAGATTAATTATCTCAAGGACTATGGTTATATATTATAATCAACTGATATCAATGCAAGGTCGTTCCAGTGTGAATGAATCAGAGATTTTACCAAAAAGAAATCTTACCGCGTGATTGTGAGAGACGACTTAGCCAGTCCAAAACAGAAAACAATTCTTAGGAATAATGGCGCATATTAATCAATGGATTTAAGCAATGAAGTATAACCAACGAGAATGAAGTTTTTTTTAATGTACTTTCTTAACTTTACAACCGACCGTGACTGATATGCACCCTTGCATTTGCGAAATGGGATTAACCACTTGATTACAGTATGCCTAATATTCGACCTGAATTATCTAAAAGACAGCATAAAAATTCCTTTCTGTAAAACGTGCTGTTTGTACAATCAGCAGAAGTGATGCTATACTGATGGCCGGAGTTAATTTTAGAGAAAATTAAGAAAATAATTACGTAAAATTTGTTTTATTTTATAGTTGGCGTCCATTAAAAAAAAAGATTTCTTCTCGTGGTCTAGGGTTCGTCTCCTATCATCATGTTCAGACTAGTCTCGTTGTTTTGATCTGTCAGTTGCATTCCGGAATACCAATTACCATCTTGTTAGTTGAGTTCTTTTGTAAAGAATGAGAAGGCCACTGTTGCTTACCTGTATTGCCTATTTTTGCCGAACGCGAAAAAGGACACGATTGAAAAAAATAAAATAACTTCGGTGGTTTTATAAGCAGGTTTAGAAGATAGCTCAAAAGCAAATTTAGACCAATAGAAGACTTCATTCCTCCTCTTCCCTGTTTATAATTCTGACCCACCATTAAAGCTGGTGAAAAACCTAAAACTGATCTCAGATCAAAACGACCGGAAACGACCAAATTGGCTATTCAAATATATCCCAATTGAACAATTCACAAGGTGATACAGTAAAAAATCGTAAGAAAAATAATCCCTGATTAGAACGGTTGTGTACGCTTGAAATATTATATCGCAATACTTTATAATTGCAAAATGAATTGAAAAAGTAAAAATATATGAAAGACAAAAACTAAAGAAATATTTAACATCTAAGGTTGGTTAAAGTAAGTTAATAGTATGGCTGGGTGAGGAGAAGACCATTGTCAGGAAAAAATATCAACGTCTCGCTGCTCCATTCTTATAACCCTGACCCAGCAATAAAGATGTCCCAAATCAAAAAAATGTATCACAGGCCAAAATGGCATGATAAAGCTGTGTATTGAAATATATTCCAATTGAATGATTCTCAAAGAGATACTAAAAAATTTTAAGAAAAACTGATTACTGATTATAACAATATTTAGAATATGTTCTACAAATGTAACAACGTAAGAAAGACAAAAAGGAAATATTCAAAATCTAAGGTTGGGGAGAAGACAACTCAAGAAAAAAAATCTTAACACGAGATACGCCCTGCTTATATCCCATACCCACCACTATATATGTCTAATCCTAAAACCCATAAAATGCGAGTATAGGCAGATCCAAATGACTGGAAACGAAAAAAGTACATTTTTAAAATAGTACTAATAACAATTATTCTCAAAGTTACATATCATGAAAAATCTTATTGAAATATTTTTTAACTGTACGCCTATGCCTACCATGTACTCTATACTTGACAACTGAATACAAATAAGATCTGAAATAGTTACTGAAGAGGAGGATATTTAAGAAATATTTAAATTTCAAGGTTTGTTAAACCTGTAGTAACTTTTTCGTCGATATAAAATAAAACCATTAACAAGAAACATGCCACCATAGGCATCTAACAAATGCATTGATACTAATCTTAAAAATACGCCGACCTTGAGTCAATAAAGGTCCATCCATCTAAAAAGGCCCACTATAGAATCTATACAATCAAAATGGTAATGCGGTAAATAAATAAAACGGTCTTGAAAGGGAGGTTTAGTTAGCAATTTGCAAACGTAAAGATACTTTGATTAAATTTCTAGTTTATCAGTGAAATCATATGTATTACCGGATTTGTTAGTATTTAGAGACGAGGTGAAATTTTGTTAGAAAAGTTAAAAAAATTATGTCTGTTTTGAATTCACTTACACCACTTCCTTAAGAAGCTACTGCTAAGTTTGTCACAGAGTTTTCTTTTAGTCTGCATCTTCGGCAATTATAATAGAGAAAATCGATGTGCAGGGCGGTATATCGTTCCGAGGACGTCACATGCACAGAGAGCAGGAACCACTTCTCAGCCGAAAAAAAAATAAAATAAAATTTCGCTTTACAAGCGAGCGAGGAGTTCGACTCGTCCGACGACTTTCACCGTTGACGAAATTATGTTTGTAACGTCCGCAGCGCCGTAGTTTTGTTCTTAAGAAACGGATGAAAAATCACTTAAACTCGAGTGTCTTCGAACGGCAGCCTTCACTTTTCGGGCGGTCCCGTGTATAAAAATCTTGCAGACTTGGTGTCGAACCGGTGGGCGGGAGAGTATCGGCTGCAGGAGGAGAACCACTACTGAATACCTCGAGTACTAATCCTCCTGCTCCCCACTTGATGGAACCCCTTCTTGACTTGTGCTCTTCCCCCACTAATACTTTCCAATAACCAAGGTCCATTAGTCATGGCGAAGTAATTTTGTTTGTCCTCATCGCGACTAAGAACCGGTCGATTAAATAAATATTTGCCCTGGGATCGTTCGACCCTTTCGCCCCTTGGCGAGAACTGCCTCTTCTACGCTCCAGTGACTACTTTCGTTAAACGCGAACAAACTTAGTTGTAAAGCATGCCCATCAATAGAGTTTGTTTGTATTTATTACTAATTTTATAACTAGGAATTAATGGTCGAGCAGGTAAACATGACCTGACATAATGAACTGTCACCAGGCGGTAACACCCTCAACCATTGGATCCGTAAATGCCTCTAGGCCACAGCCACTTCAAAGAACGGCAAGCTCTTTCACTAACTAATTGGGATGAAGAATTAATTTTTTATATAAGTTATTAATTAAATCAGGATTTAACTAGACCAAGGACAAATAAGATGTGGAGGTCATTGTAGACAGTTTCTGGTTAATTAATGCAGAAAAGAAGTACCACATAAAAAAGTAAGAACCTGATTCTTTATTACCTATATATATTTAATTTTAATATATAAAATTAATATAGGTTTTGTATTTAATATATAAAATGGCAATCATATATGTATAATATCTTAGAAAATATTTCGTGTGATTTCTTCGTATGGTCTGGAGGGCGATGACCGTGTAATTTGATAGTTACTGGTCGTCTCTTCTGCCTAGGCTAGCTGTATTTGCTTGCCAGACTCGTTTCGGCATTTAGCCGTCTTCAGTTGATGGTGAAGGTTGTAAGAGGGGAGGCGCAAATTATTGAGTCTTACATATACCTCGATGTTATTTTCCCCTCATATCGCTACAAGACAGTCGGGTCTTAAAGACTAAAAGGACTACATATGGGTCATTTGTTGAATCTTGTCACCTTTTATTAACTTATAAAAACAGACACATCGCAGACCAAAACAGGAATATACACACATCTGTTACCATCATATTTCGTATGTTACTTCTATTCTTGATGCCAATTTTATAGTTGAGTGATTTTCTCCTGTGATCCGATGGTGTTAGACTTTTTCGATCAGTTTGGTCTAACTAATCTAGCTGTTTTGGTCAATGAGAACACGTTTCGATATTTCACCATCTACAATTGAGGGTCAAGGTTATAAGCAGGTAGACGAAGAGTACTGACTCCTCATCACCTTGCTAAACAAAGTCCCACAATCCGGTCGTTGACCCACTAAAACTACGAACATACGTGTCTTTTTCAACCCTTTTCACATTTTACAAACTTTAAAAAAATCCAGATAGCTCAAGTAGTAGAGCAGCGGCTTATCTAGCCGAAAATCGTAGGTTCGAATCCCGCTCGTGACACTGACTTTTTTATCTAAACAAAAAACCTTAAATAATTGAGATATTAATTGGTCATGCGGACAACAAAACTAATGAATTTAATAAGTTCAAATGAAATATACCTTCACTAAAGCACCCCGTGGCTATTTCATTTGTCGCCGAGAATCAAATAGATTACACGACATTTGAAAAATGGCAAAAAGGAGGGAAAATTCAAAAGGTGGGGTTGAGATGGGAAATTAGTGTCCAAGTGGATGGAGGTCACGATAGCTCAATGGTAGAGCAGCGGCATATCTAGCTGAAGATCGTGTTCGAATCCACCTCGTGACACTGACTTTTTATCTCAACTATAAACCTTAATTAATGGAAAGATATTAATTGGTCAAGCTGACCACGAAACTAGTGAATTTAATAGGAATCATCAAAAGCATTTTATAGTCTCATCCTGGTCAAAAAACTAGGTGTGGGCTAACCCATGTTGGGATGGGTGGACTCCTTTTTGTCTAAGAGGTTTTTTGTTGTAAGATTTGGTGAAGGCTTATCGAAACCTGTCCACGTACGATCTGGTGTGCCTTAGGGCTATCATTTTATGTTTTCATTAATTCTTCATTTTCCCTGTAAGCAGACGATTTGAAAATTTACCGCCCTGTCGATCGATAAACGATAGCATTCCCTTACAAAATAACTTTAGGCTTTGGTGTACGTGTAATAATTTCAAACTAAACGAAATTAAAGCAGAATTTGAAGATCTCGAAGAAAAAGATCATTCACGATTACGACGAATTCGTTTATAGTATTGAAAGTTCTCACATTGATGAAGTCGATACTATCTCGGATCTCGCGGTTATTTTTTTAATAAGAATTGTGATTTTCGGGACTACATCCATGCCATTAGGAATATAGCGTTTAAAAATTTAGGATTCGTACTCAGGTAAACTTTTGACTTTAAGAACCCTTTTGCAATAACTGGTTCGCAGTCACCTAGAGCATGCCAGTGTTGTTTCATCGCCGGGTTCTTTAGATGGGTCTTACATGATAGAAACGGTACAAAGAAAGGTCACGAAATATGTAGTACAAGATATGCAATCACAGGAAATACCATCATTGCTTCTATGAAGCCAGACTTGTTCTAGTAGGCCTGGATTCTCTGGCAGATAGAACAGTTTTGGCTTCCGTTATGATCCTATGGAAGATCTTAAATAATTTTATTGACTCCACAGAGATATTATCTTATATCGGCTTTAGGGTACCCAAGCGTCAACTACGGATCCATGAATTCTTTAGTACTTCACGGCACAGGACCAAATACGGGCTAGAGTCTTCAATCTCCAAAGCTGTGTATTACATAAATAAATTCGGTATCAGTGCCCATTCTCCTCGTCCCTTCGGATCTTAAAAAAATATTGAACGAGTTTAAAATGTAGTTGAGGGTTTATTTATTACGTTTGTTGTGCTATTTATTAATCTATTTATAATGTTTGATTTGTTTGTATAAGTGTTGGACTTTCTTTGCTTTTATTTTTAATTGTATATCCTTTTTTAATAGTTTATTTTATTGATTTGTTGTTTTGCTTGACTGTCCTATGCTTGGGTACCTGTTTGGACTGTAATTATCTCCTATCCTTTTTTCCATTTATATCAACGACCTGCCCGTGTCCATCCAGTCCTGTAACTATCACCTATATGTCGATGACTCCCAAATATACATATCTTTCTACCCTTCCGATCTTCACTCGGCCATTCTCAAGATCCAAAAAAACTTAAACTCCATCACCGAATGAATGGGCACATAAAAATTCCCTAGTCTTCAATCCTTCCAAATCCACCGCCATAATTATCAGGTCCAGGTAACGGTTCAATTCCCTCCCCAGCATCCCACCTCTCATGTTAAATAACCATCCCATTCCCTTCTGCTCCTCGGTTAAAAACCTATGAGTAGTCTTTGACCAAAACCTTTCCTGGCATCCTCATATTTCCCAAATTTCCCGCCATTGTATTGCCTCCCTCAGCCTGTTTCGTCGGTCTTGGCTTCTCTTATCTTTCTCCACCCGCAAACTCCTTGTATCTTGCCTTATTCGATTATAGCTGTGTGGCATACGGTGGTCTCTCGACGGGGGGGGGAACGCGCGATTGAAGCGTATTATGAATTGTTGCGTAAGATTCGTGTTCGGACCACGTGGGTCCCGAGTCCCGGGGTTGTACTCCCAACTTTCCTGGCTCTACCCCTCGTTCCGTGCACAGAATTTCCTACGTTGCTTTCTTTTTCAGTACATCCACACTCGTCGCCCTCCTTACATCACCCAATCCCTCAAATTCAACTCCTCACATCATACTCGTAACTCCCGCTCATCCCCAATAGACCTTATCCTTCCGCGACATGCAACCCATACCTTCGAAAGATCCTTTCTGACCCGAGCTCCTAACCTCTGGAACTCCCTTCCCCTTTCTATTCGTCACGCTGCCTCCTTTTCCTCCTTTAAATCCCACCTGTATTATCACCTCCTCTCCTTCCAAGCAGATCTTACGTTAATATTTGTTTAATATCCTTGTAATTTTCTTTTCTGCGGCCTGCCTTACTGTATTTCTATCTCAGTTTATTTTTAATTTCATAGAAGGAACCTCCTTTAGTGATTTCATGTTTATTATTCTTAGGGGTCACCAGTCCCAGAATAAAGTTATTTTTCTTCTTTTTAAATAGATAAAATAAAAATAAATAAAATAATGTGGATAGTTCTGGCTCTTCGGATTTCACTAACTGAACACTAATTCAAGGGGGGATGACTGCTCAGCTTCAAAAATGCAGGTCAAAACTGATACAGAAAATCGAAATATTGTAAATACTGAATTACCACAATTATATATTCATGCGAAAAAAAGATCGTATGTCCTTAATTGAATCTTACCATGGCATCAGCCATTTATTGACCACCATTACAGTTAGCGCAAACAATCTAACTTAAATTACTGAGTGCCAACATATGCAAGAAAAGTATCCCAACTCAAAAGCTGTAGTTTTTAGGGTTAGTATATTTGGATTTTTAAAGTTTTGCGTTTTCGCTTAAGTGTTAGACAAACGAAAGACGATATTGATGGATCATGAGTTTTTATTGGCAACAACCCTACTGGCACTTAATACATAAATCAAAAAGTAAACTTCCATTTATCTCTCTTGTAAAATTTTCTTTTGTAGAGTGACACATTTTTTGCGGGTGTGCGACTTGACAAAAGATCTAATCTCCCCAATTTGGACCTACGGACTTGAACTGTTTGGGACAGCCAAACGTTCCAATTGCTATAATCCCAAATCCTTGTCGCCGAGAATGGAATAGATTACACGACATTTGAAAAATGGCAAAAAGGAAGGAAAATTCAAAAGGTGGGGTTGAGATGGGAAGTTGGTGTCCGAGTGGATCGAAGTCACGATAGCTCAAGTGGTAGAGCAGCAGCGTATCTAGCCGAAGATCGTGGGTTCGAATCCCGCTCATGACACTGACTTTTTATCTCAACTAAAAACCTTAATTAATTGAAATATATTAATTGGTCAAGCGAACCACGAAAACTAGTGAATTTAATATTTTATAACTTTGGTAACTCTAGGACTGA